TGACGTAATGGAGGAGGAGATTAGAATGATTGAATAGAACAAAACATGGGAGTTGGTGGACTGTCCTAACAGAAAAGACATTATTGGGGTTAAGTGGATTTACAAAAGAAAGCTTAACTCTTATGGTTCTTTGAAGAAATGTAAGGCAAGACTTGTAGCTAAAGGCTACTCACAACAGCGTGGTATTGACTACAATGAAACCTTTGCACCTATTGCAAGGTTAGACACCATTCGAACCATTTGTGCCTTAGCAGCTCAAAATAGTTGGAAAATCTTCCAACTTGATGTCAAGTCACCTTTTTTGAATGGAGTTTTGGAAGAAGAAATATATGTCAACCAGCCAGAGGGGTTCATAAAGGAAGAAGGCAAAGTGCTTCGACTAAAGAAAGCTTTATATGGGCTTAAACAAGCTCCAAGGGCTTGGTATGGCAGAATTGACAGTTATTTCAGTGAGAAAAAATTCAGCAAAAGCAAGAGTGAGCCTACACTCTATGTCAAAGCCCAAAGTGAAGGTATTTTGCTTGTCTCTCTATATGTTGATGATTTAATTTTTACTGAAAATAATATAAAGATGATAGAAGAATTCAAAAGAGATATGATGAGCACCTTTGAGATGAGTGATTTGGGACTTATGCACTATTTTCTTGGAATGGAAGTTCATCAAGAAAATGGTATTTTAATTTCACAGAAAAAGTACTCAGAAGATATGTTAAAAAAGTTTAAAATGTTTGGATGCAAACCTGTAGCTACACCTCTTGTTGCCAATGAGAAACTAAAAAATGAAGATGGGCAAAAAAGGTTGATGAAGGCACTTATAGAAGTCTAGTTGGCAGTCTGTTATACTTAACTGCTACTAGACCAGATTTGATGTTTTCCTCAAGTTTGCTGTCCAGATTTATGCAAAGTCCAAGTCAAATCCATCTTGGGATAGCTAAGAGGGTTCTAAGATATGTGCAAGGGACCATGGACTTGGGAATTTGGTACAAGTCATGTTCACACCCCAAGTTGACAGGATTTATAAATAGTGATTGGGCATGATCACTAGATGACATGAGAAGCACATCAGGTTTTTGTTTCAATCTGGGAACATGAATGTTTTCATCGGGTTCAAGGAAGCAACCAACAATTGCTCAATCAACAGCTGAAGCCAAGTATGTGGCTGCTGCAGGGGCTGTTAGTCAAGCCAGTTGGCTAAGGAAAATTCTTGAAGACATGGGTGAAAAGTAGCAAGAACCAATTGATGTGTTTTGTGACAATAAGTCAGCCATAGCTATGATCAAGAATCCTGTTTATCATAGTAGAACAAAGCATATTTGAATTAAGTATCATTTTTTAAGGGAAGCCGAAGCAAATGGTGAAGTTAATTTGAAGTTTTGCAGCAGTGAAGAACAAGTTGCTGATATATTTACCAAGGCTCTTCCTAGAGTCAAGTTTCCATCCTTTCGAATGATGCTTGGTGTTTCAGAAAAATGCATCAAGGAGAAGTATTAAAGTTGTTGCAGTTTTCTATGTTTACATCTTTGTGTTTGTGTGTTCTGTTTTAATTATCCAGCTATATTTATTTTGCAAGCTTTAATTAGTTTGTGTTGGAACCTTCTTTCATTTATGTTTTGATGTAACCAAGAGACTACGTAAGTCTGGTTTTCACAGAAGTTTAATAGACAAGAAACATAGAATCAATCCAACGAACGTGGATTGAGTTTGTCCTGCATTCTTCTCTGTTTTTCTATTACTTCATTTTTATTTTCAATTCCAACAACAATTCCACATATGTATGTACCAACATTATAATTTCAACTTTGAATAGCCACTAATTGTTCTTGCTTGCTCCTCTTCTTCTTCTTCTTCTTCTTCTTCTTTTATGTTCCTATTCCAAAAGGTAATATTTGTTTTAAATATGAAAAAGTAAGACAATAGAGAAGTTTACATCAAGGAGCGACCCATGGGAAAATTATAATATTAGTCCAGAAATATTAAATCTTCTACACTGGCAATGGTGATTCTGGCACGCTCAACAGGCTCAAAAAGTGTGCCAACCATCTTGTGATAATGGATGGATCGAGAAAGCTCTTCTTATACAAAGATTTGGAGACTTGACACTAATTTTTCTTAGACGAAATGCGATCTTCTCCCCAATCGTTGAAGCCATTCTAGATTCCCAAAAGTTGTAAGAGTGGGGATAGTGGTTGAACTTGCCCTGTACTGAGCGGCAAGCTCTTGTTCAGTGGATGAAGCCATAGCCATGATAAAATGGGTGTTAGGGTTTGCGACTTGAGCCGTGATAAAGAAAATGCACAAAATGAGGGAGAATACACACAAAATGGGGGAAATGGGTTTCGAAGGTGGAGGTGGGTTGAGGGTGAAAGTGGGTTTGGTGTGTTGTTTTTATACTTTTCGTACAATTTTTTCATCTAGTTAAATCACCTTTAATTAAGGACATGTAAGATATTTAAATTTGAAAAACACTATGGTGTACCCATAGGGGTGAGGCGCCGAGTGTCCATAATGGACACCCCTATGGGTACACTTATGTACCCATAGCACAACCCTTTAAATTTTATAGGGGAAAAAATTTTCAAAAGTGACATTTTTGTAAAGATTATTAAAAGGTGATATTTTGTAAATATCAATTCAAAAAGTGACATGAGCGCAATTTCCTCTAAAAAGTAATCATCTCAGATTGCCAAGTCATCCTTGTACTTAACTCCTGTGGAAGGCAACCATGTATCTCCTGAAATGAAACGAGCCACTGTAAACTGCTTCACTTGAGCCGAATCTTTAATTATATGGTAACCGGGCCATTTCACTCGGCCTCCCAAGTCTGCCCCTGGTTCATTGTTCATGTATTCTGCATAGAATAGTATATCCAGGTACAAACTTCTTTTCCATTCAAGCCATCCCTCAAGTCTAATGGCATCGCTAAGGTATGATTCCATAATAATCATCCGCGAATTTTTTTTCCAAGGACGACCAAGGTAAGTTGGGTTTGTGACATCTGATTCTGCTGAAATGTTACAATATTGGATAGAAAAGCTCGAAGGATCCCTCGAATTCTCACGTTATGCTGTGATGGCGTTCTATTGACTATGAAGACCTTTCCGGACTAGAATTTGGCACTTTTGGAAGACAACTGTACCACCACCAAAAATAAAATCGACTGTGCCAATAATTTGGCTTTCCCTACAGAATTGGCACAAAGAGAGTGAAAATAATGTATCTTGGTACCCCCTTATGGCACAGCGGTATATAACTGAATGATCAGAACTAGAACGGAATGCAACTACTTGGTACTTCTGAGGTCCAGTTGTATTCTCAAATGTCATGTCCCCTGCAATGAACCCTTGGCCCAAAACACCTGCGATTTGTCATGTTTAAAAAAATTCCATATAAAATTATGGGAATGATTTTGTATTGCATGATCAGTTCATTATTTACAACAATAGCTTCTACAAGAACATATAAATAATAATTATTTGGTGACAAAATTTTAAACATACATAATAGAAGTTGTAATACTAAGGTCAGTTTAAACCATGTAGAATGTCACAACTTTATGCTTTTTCAAAATACCCTAACCATGTTACAGTGGAACAGTAAATATTTGCAAGGGTGATGATACAGTAAATTGTATCTCTGTTAAAGATTATTTTGTCAATTAAAGGTTATTCTTACCAAAAGTTGCACTACTGACCATTGTCCAGCCGTCCACATAGTTCCTATTACCAGAAATAATTGTAACATCTATGCTATCTCCAATAATCATTATGTTCGATTTACTATTACTAACCTCAACATACTTTTTGTATACACCTGTTTTTACGTATATCACATATCTTTGTAGGCTGTTTTCCGGGACTGCAGAGATAGCCACCACCATGTCTGCCATGGCGCCTTTAGAGACTTGGAGGAGTTTCCAATCTTTGGATTTCAGCCAATGTCGAAACTTTACATTGGTTCTAACCTTCTTGCGGTCAGAATTGCCTCCACCACTACCACCACCTCCTGCGCAGTGAGAAAGACGACATTTGAACGCTGGATCCGGGGATGTTGGTACCATGAAAAGAATATCTTCGACCAATTTTGTTATTTGGTTGAGGCAATTGGCAACTAAAATCTTGATAGTGCTGTTTGTATCATCAAAGCCTTCTAGGCAAGTGTCTTAATTTATCAAAACTTCAGTCAACCATGCCCTCATGTCAGCAATTAGATTTTCAAGGTATTTTTCTCGTTACCTGTGAGAAAAAATTAGCATAAGAAAATTTTCAGCACGTAAAAATTTCATGACGATTTTGTAAAAGAAAATGTTATAAAAATAACTAGAATATTTTAATGTATCGATTTCTTAACGCTAAAGTTTTCACGACTAATTACAACATTAGCCATTCTTAAAATTGAACAAAAGTTAAATGCAAACTTAAATTGCAGAAGAATTATTCATTCAACATAAAAAAAGAAATGAAAGAGATCTCCATCTTAAATGGATGGAGAATGTTCAATACAACCAATAAGGAAGAAACAGCTCATCTAAAATAACAGAAAAGAAACAAAAAATGTGATAACTGAACACGCCTTTATCGCCTGGGCCTGGGCAACTGCTTTATTTGCTGGGCCAGTAGATTGATAATGGATAATGGGCTGATATAATTCTTCATCCCCCCTCAAAGTGGAGGTTGGTGTAAATCTCCCAACCCTAGCCTGAAAAGAAGACGAGAAAAGTGAGGAGCTACAAGAGCTTTGGTAAAGATGTCCGCAAGCTGTGCATGAATATACTGTGGAAGAACGAATCCAGATTTATACAAATTCCAAACCAAATGACTATCAATCTCCAAATGTTTCGTGCGTTCGTGGAAAATCGGATTTGCTGTGATATGCAAAGAGGCTTTGTTATCACACCATAAAGATATAGGAAGTGTTAAAGGAATGTGAAGATCATTCAGAATGTAAGAAATCTATTGCAGTTCACAAACTGTACCCTCCATGCTCTGGTATTCTAGCTTTGTTGAAGAGCGTGAAACGATTGTTTGCTTCTTGGTTTTCCAGGAGATAAGTGCTGAACCTAAGAAAACATAATAACCTGTGAGTGATCTCCTTGTATATGGGCAAGACGCCCAGTCAGCATTGGCGTAAGCTCGTAAATGAAAAGAGCGTTGTGTTGGGAAGAAAAGCCCTTTAGAAAGGCAGGCTTTCAGATATTTGAGTAAATGCATAGCAGCATCCCAATGTGATTCACAAGGTGCATGGACAAACTAGCTAAGCTGTTGCACACCATACATTATATCTGGTCGTGTTAAATTCAAGTATAAAAGGTGCCCAATTAACCTTTTATAATGCTCTGGTTCAGGAAATAAAGAACTTGCCTGGTGAATCAGTTTGGTCCCTTTTGGAATTGGCACCTGTGTGGGCTTAGCTCATATTAATCCTGCATCTTGAATCAAATCAAGAATGTATTTCCTCTAATTAACAAACATTCCTTCACTACTATGGGCAATCTTGAGTCTCAAGAAGTATTTAGCATATCCCATATCTTTATAGTAAAGGCTGTATGCAAGTATTGTTTAATTGCAATGATATCATCTTCATGTGAACCAGTAACCAGGGCATCGTCAATATAAACCAAAAGGATAAAGATTCTTTGAGGACTATGTTTTATAAATAGGCAGTGATCGTGTTCAGATTGATGAAAACCAAAGCTGTGAAGTTTTGAACTCAGTTCAGCATTCCATTGCCTCGACGCCCGTTTCAACCCATATAAACTACGCTTTAATTTGCAAACTTGTCTTGGTAGAGCTTTATGAAAACCATCAGGTGGCAACATATAAACTTCCTCATCTAAGAATCCATGGAGGAAGGCGTTATTAATGTCCATCTGGTGTAAAGGCCATTCCTTAGCTGCCACGATAGTAAAAAGTATTCTCACAGTGACCATTTTCGCTACAGGTGAAAATCTATCAAAGTAGTCTACCCCCTGCAGTTGGTGATAACCATTGGCAAAAAGTCTTGCCTTGAGCCTGTCAACTGTACCATCTGGATGTAATTTTACCTTGTAAACCCATCATGAGCCAATAGCTTGTTTCCCAGTACATTAAGCTCCTTTTGCATTCTTGAGTCCAAACTTTATTCTAACTATCTTGATTATAATAAGCAGGTTTTTGGACAGTTGATGAAGTGGCTAGAAATGCAGCATATGATGAACTAATGTGAGACAAGATATGATAAGGAAAGGTAAGGTAAGAGGTGTATACCCTTTTGAATCTGATGGTGTCTTCCTACAAAATGAAGTAAGATCAGTCGTTGGCAATTCTTGAGTGCTGCTAACATTGGTAGCAAAATCCTGCAGCCAAGATGGTTTAGATTTATTCTGGTACTATGTCGAAGAGGAGGAGTGGCTAAAAGACTAGATGGAGAATTAGAGTTTTCATCAGACTAAGTTTCAAGGAAAGGATCTGAAATTAATGGAATAGAATCAGAAGTAGTGTTAGGAGGATTTGCATCTTTCTGTAATATGGTCATTTCTGGTAAATCATTGTCTTTCTATGTATATGGTGTTTGTGAATAATTGTCATCAGAATCTGATTCCTGAGATGAGGGTAATGGAGGAAGAGAATCATCAGAGATAGTTTCCTTAAAAGGAAAAATGAATTCAAAAATTTTTACATCTCTGTATACTTGAATCTGTTTGGTGGAAACATTGAAAACTTTGAAGCCTTTTTGACCAGGGTTGAAACCAAGAAACACACATTTATACCCCATTTCCTCAAACTTATCCTTATGTGGTTTAGTATTTGCAATGTAGCAAAGTGATCCAAAAGTTTTGAGAAGAGAATAGTCAGGTTTCTTTCCATATAGCTTCTCAAAGGGAGTAAGCCATCTCATAATTTTTGTGGGAAGTTTGTTGATTATGAAGGTTTCCATCAATATGGAATAAGGTCGGAACTTTTTTGGTAAATTGGATTGGAACATCAGAGACCTAGCAATTTGGAGCAAGTGTTTATGTTTGAGTTCTACAACTCCATTTTATTGAGGAGTATAAACGCAAGTTCTCTGATGGATGATCCCTGAATTTTGAAGCAAGGTATGACACTCAGCACTAAGGTATTCAGTTCCATTATCAGTTCTCATGCACTTGATTCTTCTATCAAACTGATTTTCAACCATTTTAAAGAAACAATCAAGTGTTTTTGTAACTTGTGTTTTGTGAAGAAGTAGGAAGGTCCAGGTAGCTCTATTGAAATTATCTACCACGGTTAAAATATAAGGTATACCTGTTAGTGAAAATTGTCTATATGTTCCCCAAAGATCAACATGTACTATTTCAAAAATAGCATTAGTATGTATAGAACCAACTGGAAATGGAACTCTTTGTTGTTTAGCCTTATGACAGATTTCATAATGTTGTAAGACAACTGACCCTTTAGAGGAATGTTTCAAAAAATCCAAGTATTATAAGGTTTGAAAGGATGTGTACCCTAGTCTATTCTACCACTTAAGAAGAGAATCTGTAGTGGATGAATTAGAACTTTTATTGATATCATATGTCTGGTTACAAGAAGGAAGGAAATTTGAAATTTCAGATTCAACAATCTACTGATCAATATTTTCCTTACTGCTAAACATGAAACTTGACTCATCTAATAGATATAATTGTCCTATAAGTTTGCCAACTGCCAACAATCTTTCACTCTGCAGGTCCTGTAGCAGGCAGAAATTAGGATAAAATGTCAATTTCAAATATGCATTTTGAGTGAGTTTAGGTACTGACAGAAGATTGAATTTAAAGCTGGGAATATATAATGAATCTGCTAGGCATAATTGTGAATTCAATTTTACATCTTCAATTTTATTGATTGGTTTGGTAGTACTATCGGGTAAACAAACATGTATGGGTTATGTTATGGTTCTTATTCTTGTCATCAATTTTATGTCTGCACAAATATGATTACTAGCTCCTGTATCAATAATCCAACTCATACCTGCATATTCTTTAATATGAGTAAAATTCACCTAATTCTCCATATCCACTAACATTTTCCCTCTTAAGGCTCTCTAAACTTCCTGTTTTATAATGTCTGATATGTTAGTTGATGCTCCCATATCATTCTTCTTGATTTCATTCGTCTGTTCTTCATTAAAGTCTAATGGTGTTTCAGCCATGTTTGCTAAATATTTTCCGTCTATGAATCCTTTTTACCTCCGTTCCTTTAGATCTCTATACCAATTTGGATATCCATTGAGCTTAAAACAAGGATCCTTTGTATGACCATTTATGTTACAATGATCACAGTGTGATTACTCTTTTTCTATAGCACCAAATCTTCTTGTGTTTTCTCTGGCTGAATTATAATTTCCTCTACCAAAATGTCCCCTACAATATCCTCTATAATAACCATTTCTGCCTCCACTATCTCTTCTATACTCAGTAGTTTTAACAAGCATTGCTGAGTTGTCATTTATTTCAGGAAAAATCACATGCACTTTTCTTTGCTTTTCCACTCTAAGCACCATTGAGTAAGCTTTGTTGACTGAGGATAAAGGATCCATTACAAGAATTTGATTCCTCAAATGATCAAAAGTATCGTTTAAACCCATCAGAAATTGCATTAATCGATTGAAAGTTGTCAGATCTGATACTTCCTTAGATGCTGACAAGTACAAGCTGGAATAGGCATCAAACATCCTAGTTCATCCCAAAGTCTTTTCAATTTAGTATAGTATTTCTTAGCTGTCAATGTCCCTTGAGAAATACTTATTATTCCCTCTGCAACTGATATAATAGGGGTCCATTGCATTCCCCATATCTCTCTTTTAATTCTTCCCAGGGATCCTTTGCAGATGCAGTGTAAATAAAGGCCTCCACGATTTCCTTTGAAATCGAATTCAATAGCCATGATCTAACCATACAGTCTACTCGAACCCATTGTTCAAATTTATCAGAATTTTCAATTGGTTTTTCACAACTTCCATTAATAAAATCCAATTTCAATTTTGCTCCCAAAGCTATTTTAATAGATCTATTCCAGCTAAGATAATTCTGACCTGTTAAATGTGATGTTACTAGCT